GCCCCCCACGGGGCTCCCCAGAATGCCCGCCCCGGCAGAGCTGCCAGGATGCGTGAGTGTGTGTGAGCAGAGCTTGGCTCAGCGTCCTCGCCTCCGGGCTGCGCGGGGGGGACCGAGGGTCCCCTGCGAGGCCACCCCGCGGACCGGGGTCTGCCCGGGTCGGGGGGCGAGGCAGAGACCGACTTGCTCTCTTGCAGATGGAGGGCTCCGAGGAGCTGGAGAGGAGCCTCCTGACGCAGCCCTGGGCTTCCGTTCGCTTCGGCGAGTCCGCGTTCCTGGCCAAAGCGTGCTTCGGGGACGCTGGCTACATCCTGCTGATCTCCGACCTCAGCGGCGTCTGGTACGAGAGCGCGGACGCCGGGGCCGTGGGACAAAGGTCCAAGGTGAGTGTCTGGGAAGTCCAGGGATCTCTTCTCGCAGCAGCTGACGTCGCAGCGTGAACTGCTTGGTGGCTGTTGGGTCTGATGGGGCTCGGGTGCGAAAGCCCGGCCTGGGAAGCGCCCAGGCGGCTCTGCCTGAGCACTGTCACCCCAGCTGGCTGAGCACCCTCCTCCTGGGAGAGGGGACCGGGCTAATCAGCATGCCCAGGGCAGCCAGGTGTTCACCGGCACTGCGTGCTGAGGCCAGCACCCTCGTTTCATTTGTGGTCGGGATGAGCAGCTGGTTTCCCCAGGACCGGTGTACGAAGGAGGAGGTTGAAACAAGGCTGCCTTCCCACTGGTGAAAGAGAGACTCTTGTTGACATTCACAGCCAGACACAGGCTCCCATGGGACATCCTGCCAGTACGGTCCCCAAAACACAGGGGGCCATGCCTCATGCACAATGCCGCATCCTTGTGCAAGGCATTCAACACTGTCCCACATGATGTCCTTGTCTCTAAGTTGGAAGGACATGGATTTGACAGCTGGACCACTCGTTGGATAAGGAACCGGCTCAATGGACGCACTCAAAGAATTGCAGTCAATGGCCTGATGTCCAGGTGGAGACCAGTGACGAGTGGTGTGCCTCAGGGGTCGGTACTGGGGCTGGTGCTGTTCAATATCTTTGTTGGTGACATGGACAGTGGGACCTAGTGCACCCTCAGCAAGTTTGCCGATGACACCAAGCTGTGTGGTGTGGTTGACACTCTGGAGAGAAGGGATGCCATTCAGAGGGACCTTGACAGGCTGGAGAGGTGGTCCTGTGTGAACCGCATGAAGTTCAGCAAGGCCAAGTACAAGGTCCTGCACGTGGGTCGGGGCAATCCCAAACACAAGCACAGGCTGGGCGGAGAGTGGCTCGAGAGCAGCCCTGAGGAGAAGGACTTGGGGGTACTGGTGGATGAGAAGCTCAACATGAGCCCGGAACGTGCGCTCGCAGCCCAGAAGGCCAACCATGTCCTGGGCTGCATCAAGAGAAGCGTGGCCAGCAGGGTGAGGGAGGGGATTCTACCCCTTTACTCTGCTCTCGTAGACCCCACCTGGAGTCCTGCGTCCGGCTCTGGAGCCCCCAACACAGGAAGGACATGGACCTGTTGGAGCAGGGCCAGAGGAGGGCCACGAAGATGATCAGAGGGCTGGAGCACCTCTGGTACGAGAACAGGCTAAGAGAGTTGGGGCTGTTCAGCCTGGAGAAGTGAAGGCTCCGGGGTGACCTTATAGCAGCCTTCCAGTACCTGAAGGGGCCTACAGGAAGGATGGAGAGGGGCTTTTCACAAGGGTGTGTAGTGACAGGACAAGGGCAGATTTAGATTGGATATCAGGAAGAAATTCTTCACCACGAGGGCAGTGAAACACTGGAACAGGTTGCCCAGAGAAGCTGTGGCTGCCCCCTCCCTGGAAGTGTTCAAGGCCAGGTTGGATGGAGCTCTGAGCAGCCCGGTCTAGTGGAAGATGTCCCTGCTCATTGCAGGGGGGTTGGAACCAGATGATCTTCAAGGTCCCTTCCAATCCAAACCATTCTATGATTCTATGATCCCATCACCCTAGCCCATGTGCCCAGGCCCCCACGTGCCACCCCTGTCTGCCAGGTCCCCCCAAGAGGGGCTGTGCTGAGCGGCTGGTGGCAGGAGGGCTGTGGCTGTGGTGGCAGCCATCCCCCAGCTCTGGCAGGTTTGCTGAGCTGTGACAGCTCTCGGCCAGCTCGTGACACTCATGGCAGCATGTCAACTGGAAATCATCGCACCCTGCCTACCACCGAGACCCTCCTGGGCTGGCAGGGCAGGGGAGCCTTCCCAGCTCAGCTGGCCTGGGAGAACTGGTGGGGAATGTCCTGTTGTGGGGCTGAAGCCAAGGCTCGGGGATGGCTTTTTGCAGCGCTAGGACACACAGAAGTCGTTTGGCTCTTTGTGCACTGGGGTTTCTGCTGTTTTTTTCCCGGTGCCCATCTCCCTGGGCCCTCACTGCACCCCTTAACCTTGCCTTTCCCCAGGAGCTGAACAAGCGGCTGACGGTCCACGTGTCCTCCTTCCTGCACCGCTTGCGCAACCTGATGTGCCCCTTGCTGGCGGGACACCCGGACCCCGCCACCTCCTTCTCCTGCCCCGCTTGCGCAACCTGATGTGCCCCTTGCTGGCGGGACACCCGGACCCCGCCACCTCCTTCTCCTGCCACCGCGTTGCCGGCAGCCTCAGCCTGGTTGGCATGTTGAGAGAAGCCGCGGAGAGTGTGGGGAGGTGGGCGGCCAAAATTAAGGATTACCTCCTAACACTTGGGGGCTTTTGGGTAGTCTTGGGCTGTGCTGGTGGGTGTGGGGTGCCTGGCTCTGCCTGCTGCCCCTCCCAAGGTTCGCTGTCCCCATTTCTTCCCCCTGAGGCTTCGCCGCCTTGGCTGGTGGCTTGCGGCGAGGGGGGGGGGGCCCCC